AGGTGGGATCAGGTGTCTAGGAGTAGTAAGCATCTCCTACTGATTGATCCACTGTGAAGAAGACGGGGCACTCCGTAGTCAAATTCAGAAAAAAACAAAGGCAAACCAGTTTCAAAGATATATATTATTTAAACAATATTTTGAAATCTCTATAAAATTACCCTTTCTGTTTGTAGCCCGCCTTCGTATAAAAATTACTCGTCCTCGAAACTTTTTTTTTTGAGTATCGAATGAATAAGTAGATCCAAATACCAAATTCTGGTGAATTTGGGATATTACGACATAAATTAGAAAGTAAAGTATAAAATGAACCTCGTTTGTCAAATAATTTAGTCGTTATTTGGCCCTTATGGTCTATAGTCCCGCAAAATCTTCGATAGAGTTCAAAATCAAAATAAGTATAATCATCATTTTCTATATACAGGCCCTATTTAAATAGATGATTGTTTTCAAGTTTTCATTTTTCAACTATATTGACATTACCAGTAATGCCGAGTCCAGCGGAACTGTATTGAGAGGAGATGAGAGGAGTTCGTTTCAGTTATCCATAGGACCTGTTAGGTTTGTTTGCAATAGAAAACGTAAAACCAGATTATACAGTTGCAAAAATCGAAATGTGAACTTGATTATATTCTTCAAATAGTCCATTCAAAACTCTCAAGTGTATTGAGTAGAGTTTAGTGCAAATTGATGAGAGCGTATTATTTGCAAACACTACTGATGTCAAAATAATTTACATATATAGAGTGATTAAAAATGAATATAGGCCTTCATGTATAGAGATAATGAACAGAATTCAAGCTCAAAACTTCTATCAACAAAACAAATATAGAGGAGAGCGATCACGGACCTCTAAAACATCAGAGATGAAATCAGGTGCTATGAAGGAGTAAGCACCCCCTGCCGATCTGTCACAACCTCTGTGTGCTTTGATCATGATCGGGAAATAGCGGGAAAATTAGTGTATAAACAATGACCAAACAATAGTATGAAAAACGTCAGTCAGCATTTGATTTAATGATAGATTATATTTGCTGAAATTGTCATTGTATTGATCATAGAACTTACAAAATGATGACTTTAAACGAAACTACTGATATTCTTGTTTCATCAACTTGTTCGTCAATAATTTATCTCGTTTTAAAAATTGTTCATAGGAATAGCATGTTTTTGCATAAGGATTTAAATAAGAGATATAAATCCCGTATGCAGGTGATGAAGGTATATTATTGCATAAATAAGGGGAAGTTGACGATTGAAAAGTTAAAGTCATCACGATTACCATAAAGCTTGGTGGTTAGATTACTATTTAGGTCCTCTTCAAGTAAAATATCCAAATATGAAACAAATGTGTCAGACTCCGTGGTATCTTTTTATTTCAAGCTCACCGGGGTTTATCGTATCGACTTAAGAATGGAAATAACAATGTTTAATTGACATACGTTGTCGATATATCTAAATCTCGAGTTGAATGCCACGGCAAGTGTTTTCTTGTTTTCACGTATAATATTTCGGATAAATTCTGCTTCATATGAATAAAAAAAATAGGTCTGCTAATAACGCGGCGCAGCTGGTACCGATGGGAATTCCAACAGATTGTTTTGAAAACCTGGTCTCCAAATCCACATTTATATTTTCAATTAAAAACTAATAACCAGTGACAAGGAAGGTAAATTTACGAGTTCCATTTGGCAGCTGACATTGATATCAAAAAGCCTGAGAGAGAGAGAGAGAGAGAGAGAGAGAGAGAGAGAGAGAGAGAGAGAGAGAGAGAGAGAGAGAGAGAGAGAGAGAGATACAATTAAAGTTATTACTTTTAGATATTCCTTCTTGTTTTCGTCCATACGTTCTAGTAAGAGCTTTAATTAACATGCAACGTACTTTAAATAAATGCGAAAATTCGTTTTTTAACACAGTATGTTTTAGATTACTAATGGTTCCGAGCTTTTTCTTTCTCTCAGGATATTTTTTCTTCTTAATTGCGAGCATGACTTTGTGTCTCATCCAATGTATAAAAATTCTCATTTCTGAAACATGAACTATTGAAAAGTGGTAACAATAGAGATGCAACAGTGCTGATGTCACAAAAAGTGGATCATTAGTAAATCCTTTCTGCAATGAAAGGCTTTAATATTTATATCTTTAACCGCATCATGTTTTCTAAAAATGAATACAACCGAAGCTGTATCTTCAGACTTCTTTGGAAGAAATGTCGACTATTGAAGTAAAGAAATACTTTTAACGTCACAAGTGTTCGACTTTTCTATTTATAAATGTAATACTATAGTTGGTTTTTCCGCCATTTTTGGCCAAAGGTGTGCATTTTTCATTTACAAAAGCAAAATATATTTGCAGTGTAGAAAATGTAGAGTATCTCTTAGTCTCGTGATCTCTTTGATAACCTTTTTTTTTTAAAATAAAAATGTTGTTTTGCTTGAAAAGTTACTTCGACAGATTCGTGATAAATTCTTACTGTTTTAAATAATTGTAAATTAGTTAAAACGACTTTTGAATGATCTTTACATAAAAATAAATTAAACGACAGGTTGCTAATATTTCAATTTTGTGATTTCATGATTCCAAAGATTTTAAAACTCACTGTTTGTCCAGTTAAAAATGACAATTTTCATTGATAATAAATTTGACTTTAATATACATTTATGTCTCTGTATTTAAATATGAACTTTCTTACCTGAACGAGATCACAATTTCTAAGGGATGCAAATACTTACACATAAATTGAAAATTAAAAGAAAAATCTTTTTCATTCAACGTAAAATCATAACTAACAAAATAAACACAGTGACACTTGATACCCCCTTCTCTTTTAAAATACAGACACTCATTCAGACAAAACAATTAAATTTTGAATGAAACATGGAAATGATTTTGCTTTAAAATACAAAAAGATGTGATAAGTATTTTCCTCCAATTCTTCTATAAGGTCATAACTAGTACGATGTAGGTTACATTTCAGATAATTGGTATTTATATATAAAAGCACTCAAATCTATTTTTACTATATATTTTTTTCTTTTAGAAGACAAAGTTTATCAACTTCTAAAATTTGAAAGAGACTAGACCAGTATAACTATAACGCAAATTTTATGTGAACATTATTCAAGTTATAATTATAAAAGTTAGGAAATCAACACATATCACTGGGTGGTTTGTATATAATATTTATATGAGACTGAATGGGAATAATTCTACAAAATAACATATATGTTATTGTGATCATAATGCACAAAGTGTTTCCAATCTCTGATTGCAAGTGCTCTTTAGTTTCATTTCTATTTATAAGTGAAGCAAATCATAAAAATAAATCCTAAATATATGAATGCAATGGAGGCCCTGAAGCCCATCTAAATATACTTTATTTTATCTTTGCATTCCTAATTTCACATTTTTGTTAAATAAGTTGATTTCTATATGCCAAACCTAATAATATTTAGCTTTCATGATTTTTTTTAAAGAAAAATATTAACTTGTCAATCAACTCGTTTTCTTCGGTGATTAACAACGTCATGGTATACTCATTTCATTTAGCTCTTTCATGTTCTGCCATTGATATATTCTCTGTGTCAATTCCTCTGCCTTAACAATCTTTAGAGATACATGTATAATATGTTTCTGATTATGGTATTGAAACTTGTCAATCATACATTATTTACAAAATATAATTCAACACTACGTACGTTATATCTTTAATTAAGGAAATGGGAGAACGAGGCAAGGAAAATGCCTGCGATGCGACAATTGGGGGAGAAGAATTAAATCTCAATGAAAACTCCATATAAAGTTTAAAAAAAAAAGGCATAAACACACACTAAGACAACTTCTTCGTACTATTACGCAATTTTCCATGTGAGTACGTCATCTCTCATTAAAAAAAAAATTTAAATTTTTGATCAAAGTATAAAAATTTTTTAATCTGAAAGTGTAAAAAAATATGGTACGGAAGCCCTGGAGGGACATTGACTTACTTGTTATGACTTATTTGTTTTAACTTTTTTGTTTTGACTTATTTGTTTAGAATGTTACGTAGCTAGTTATAACTAAGTGTAAGAAAGCTATTGAAAACCTGTTGCTCGGCTTACTTTTATGATATAACATGATATTTACTCCTATCTTAACTGGTTTTAACGTCCAGTACAGTTGTGATTTCTAAAGTAAATATTATTTTTGTTGTTATAACTTAATTCTGATTTTCTAAAAGTTATTACTTAATTCTTATATGTAAATTCCAGTTTGCATTATGACTGAAGTCAAGAACGTGACTACTATTTTATCTTGTCGTTAGAAATAAATTCAAGGACAATTTTTTTTTTTCTTTTTTCTTGAACTATACGTTGTCTCCATCTTTCACTCCACTTTTTGTAAACTAAACTTGTCATAACAAATTCAAAATAACAAGAAATCAAAGTTAAGCCATAAGAACTAAGTCAAAACACACAAGAACTAATTCAAAAAACATAAGAAATAAGTCAAAACACACAGAAATAAGTTATTATTCCTCAATTTCCGTAATTAACGGATAAAAATTCAGTAATCACATCAGTTTTGTACGTTTAACTACAAAACTACAATTAATCTCTCAATGGCTTACCTACAAAAAAAACAAAAAAATTTCAAAACAAATAAGTCAAAACAAAAAAGTTTTAACAAATAAGTCAAAACAAGTAAGTCAATGTCCCTCCAGGGCTTCCGTAATATGGTGCAAACTATTCCTTAATGAAGTTTTTTTTTTTCGATATTCAAAAATTCTATTTCTTTGTTCGAACTCGAAGAAAACAACTTTTAAAAAACACAAAAAAAAAAAAACAAAAAAAAAAACCGAGAGAATTTTCTTCTGAATATATGTTTCTTATGCCAGTTATTTCACACATTTCAATAATAAGAATTTTTCTCTAAAATGACAAATTAAAATTACGATATTTTATATGCGTGTGAATCTATTTCTATTTCTCCCATTCAGAGATATGTAGAATAACGCTCACCTTATCATCTGCAATAACATTCCGGCAGGTGCTCTGAAGGATACCAAAGACTATCAGCCTGCTCAGTATAGATGCTTTCGACATGTCGTCTATTACTGGTTCTCGTAGAGACATAAGCTAATTTTAAATATCGTCCTCTGTAGGCGGTATTTTCCTAATGTTTAATTGGATATCGCTAAACATCCGGGCATTAGAGCTTGTATCGTCACCCGTGTTAAGCCTGTTAAGGAGTTTGCAGAGATCGATATGAAGGACAATTTCTATTATCCTCAGATTAACTGTTCCTTTGGCTGATCATAAAGATGCAATAATAGCAAATCTAGTGCGGGATCTTCCTGGGAACAGTTTGTTCACTCTGTCATAAATGTTTAGAATACCGACGGGATATTAAACTAGTATTCTTATCTTTTAACATTACCACTGTAAGACATATCTTAAACAAACCAATGAAAGGGTTTTTTGTTCTTACTGTACTTATTCGGACTTAGGCTAAAATTTCAAGCAAGCATTGCATATGTTCTTTTTTATTTATCGCTGTTGAAGTCATGTTTTTGTAGTGTAATACTGAAGTGCAAGGAAAAATGTTAAGACTGCTTAAATCAGATTTCCGATCGATGTACCGATAAATTTATAAATTTCAAAGCATATCCAAATTTATACGTAATAAATAATTTCTTTTGATTCGTAAAATGCACGTATTATTTTTCCATAAGTGTCAAAATATTTAAAAAAGGAAACATATTCTTAGTTTTTACTATTTTGGAACAATGGAATTTTATTCTCGTTTTCAAAATCCAAGTTAGAAAATAGAAAACCAAATCAAATATCACTGAATTTGTACTCCACCATTTTTTTTTTCATTTTAATATTCAATATGTCAGATGATGAAAGGGAGACAGGTGGAGTAGTATTGAAAACTTAGTCGTTGAATTCATCCAATTCTATTTGCTCACGTTTATGCTAGAGAATAAGAAAAAAGTGCAACCTTTGTCTTGCAATAAGACTTTGAAAATAATACAGTTTATCTTCTGTCATTCAAAATATCATAAACAAATCAGTTACTCGGATCAAAAAGCATTTACAATTTAGAGTTAATTGAAAATTCCTTGTATTTTCAAGTGAAATTCTATTTTACAACATACCTAGTAATATGACTGAAACAATTTCAGATCAAAGCTATCCATCGACATTGTTAAGGTCACCAGAGTAAGGCATATGGTATTTGATAGAAATCAAACTTTATGAGATCTCCAGAGAGATGAAAGGATGCCATTCAGTGGTGCTTTACTTTTGACCTTGTAAAAGAAATAAAGTGTTTTAGGAAGCAGAATTTATTTTAAAACTGCTGCGTAAAATGAAGGTCTCTTGTAGCTTCCCATCAACATTTAGAAACATCGACGACGATTTATCAATTAACAGACTAATTATCATTCCTACGTTGATTCAATTTATCTTATTGAACTCCAAATAAAAGACACCATAAAGTCTGATACATAACATCTGCTTTATAGATGGATGTTTTACTACTGAAAGACATTCATGGAGGAGTATCAACTACCCTTTATGAAAAACATAAAAAGATAAATATCTAGGGATATACCATCGTAAGCTTCACACTGGGTTTAGTCCCTCAGTTAATCATATTCTATTAACGAACAATTTCAAAACAAGACAAGCAACAGAAAAATAACTTGCAGAGACTATCACAGTCTTGGGATCATACCATCTATTAAAGGTTGCAGTTGAAAATCATAACTCACAGGAATGAATTCATTTATTAGGATTATAAATTATAATACATGTAATTGCAGGACAATTGTCTATCATATATAATTTGATTCCATAAATACCTCGTTCTTTATCTTAGACATTTCTTGTATCAAACCATACATATCTTATAACGATAAAAAATGCTCACTTTAACTGATCATGTCTCAAATAGATGAAATTTAAGAAAAAGTCTATTTATACGCATGGTATTTTCTTTCTTTTTATCTATATTTTTGTGCTAATTTGCTAGATGGCTAGAAATTTTGTCAGAAGCAAAGATATTAATAGGAAGATTTCTATGTATGCTTATTCTAAATTATTTCTTTTTTACATTTTCTAGATTGAAATACTGTTTATTATCTGTTGAAAAAAGAGAAAATGAAGAGAATTTGAAAATGAGGAAATACTCAATGTTGTAAGATATTGAGAGAGAAGAAAAAGTCCACACACATACTAAATCTGCCAAAATTTCTCAAAATTGTTGTTTATATCCATGTTTTCAATACTTTCTGTCATAATAATTCCAAAACTGCCCTATGACGCCACAACCTACGACACTGCGTTACGAAAAGACAGACGCAAATTTTTTATGCACAGAATTTTTTTTCAGCTTGATATGGAAATTATATTACTCGTGAGACAAGAATTGTTTTTCATATTTAACATCCACTTTATAATGAAAGTTTGAGTACGGTATTACGTCTTTATCCTGGCTTACAAAAATATGATTTCGTGAATTCGCTTACATCTTTAACAGGGGAAAATTATCCTTTGAAACATAAATGGTAGTTTCATGTTGATTTTTGATAAGGTTTAAGAGCATACATTTTCATATTACCAATCATGAATCGAAAATTACATTTTCCCCTAAAACAACAACAACCCTTATTCCAAGAATTCCTCACATTTTACCCAATACGAACCATTACTTGAAATATAATTGTTCATCGGGAAGATGTACAATAAGGTTTTGTGAATTTTCATATTTTATCCCAGGGGACAAGTTTGGGAGCAAAGAACGACTTTTTCCTCTATAAAACTGGATCCAAGAACTCCTTTTACTTTTGATAATTTTATGATGTAGCCAATCATTCTTATGCCCCGCCATGAATATGGCCGGGGCATATAGTGTTTGTCATGTCCGTCTTCCGTCCTTCCGTCCTTCTTTCCTTCTGTCCTTCCGTCACACTTTGCGTTTAGCTCTGTTCAAAGCTTAGTTTAAAAAAACTATCTAAGATATTTTCATCAAACTTAACTTGGTGATATATATTGATAAGAGCTTTGCAACTGCATCAACATTTCTTGACCTTGACCTTTCCTTTGACCTTGACCTCACTTTTCTTATATTAGTGTTTAGCTCAGTTTTACACATACTGTTCAAGATCGATGGTATTATCAAACATCACGTGTTAATACATACTGATGAGAGCTATGCAACTGCATCACCATTTTTAACCTTGACCTTTCCTTTGACCTCTTGACCTCACTTTTCTCAAATAAGTGCTTTGCTCAGTTTTAAAGATAATCAAACTTCACCTGCTGATACCTACTGAAGAGACCTATTCAACTACATCAACATTTTTGACTTCGACTTTTCCTTTGACCTTTACCTCACTTTTCTTAAATTAATGTTTAGCTCAGTTTTTAAGAAACCATCCAAGACTTTTTTATCAAACTTCATTAGCTGATAAATACTGATGAGAACTATTCAACTGCATTAACATTTTGACCTTGACCTCACTTTTCCTAAATCAGTGTCAAACTTCATATGCTGATATATACTGATGTAAGCAATTCAATTGCATCAACATTTTTTACCTTGACCTTCATTTGACCTTGACCTCAATTTTATCAAATTGGTTTTAAGTCAGGTATAAATAAACCATTCACAATATTTTTTTTTAACTTCATATGCTGATGAGAGCTTTTCAATTGCATCAACATTTTTTGACCTTGGCATTTCCTTTGACCTTGACCTCACTTTAAAGAAATTAGTGTCAAACTTCATATGCTGATACATACTAATATAAGCAATTCAACTGCATTACTATTTAAGATATTCTGATCAAAATTATACAAATTTTCATATTGCATTACTAATATACCCTCGGCGGGGCATTCATGTCCTATGGACATATTTCTAGTTGGAAGATAATTGGAAGTTTCCTGTATCCTATCAGGGTTTGTATGTTCAACTATTTGGATTTAGATTTATAGATATTTATTTTTCCCACACACGTACATGTATGAGTGATTGTTAAATGCTAGCTTCCAAAGTGCTTAATCTTGTTATTCTATGGTTGCCTTTGTCATTTTTCTTTCAATACCCTTGGAAAGCTCCGATGTTTGTGTCAGTTTTCCTTTTTTATATATATACTCTAAATGAATATAAATATGCTGAGAGTAATTCATGTCATGGATTTAAAATATGTAAAAGTTCTAGTACCACACATTAAGTTGGAAAAAGAAAATAGAATTAAAATTTTGTTGTACATATTTTCTACCGTATTTAAAGACTTTAACGAAAAGTTTCCATTTTTCAATCAAATTCAATACACTGGCAATAAGGTAGCGTGTTACATGTATAGGACAGTTCATTACTCCTTGACTTTTACGACAATTGTAAAACACAAATACATGATGAAAGCAGCACTCCCTCGGAACTTGTTTACTTTAATTCAACCCAAGGCAGCAATGAAAAAAGCTAAATAAATGAGAGTGTCCCTTTGGGTCGGGCAACGCAACGCTGCCTATTAAATGAGAAATCCAAAGCTCATTTGAGTAATTCAATAAGACAATTTTCAAGAGTTCATGAATATGTTAAAGTAAAAAAAATAGCAAAAAGTGGAGTTAAATTAACTAAATCTCTTCAGGAAAGACATAATTGCATACACCAATGAAGTAAATTATTATACCTGTGTCTGGGTTTGAAATAACATGCTTTTTCTGTAATATTTCTAATATTTTGCGCACAACAATGACGGATTAAGAGAGGGCTTAATTTTCTGAAATTGTCTGCACGTAGAGCATATCCTTGCGTATCGAATCTACTGAGAGACATAAACCCATATACTTGTACTATGTGATAAGGTGTGGGTGTACATAATTTAGAAAATGATAAAGACATCACGTTCATCATAAACCTTTGTTGTAAGCTCACCATTAACGTATATCCCTGGACCCAGCAAGATATCCAAAGGTGAAACAGATGTGTCAGACTCGGCGTTAATTCATATTTAAAAGTTCATTGCGATATTTTGAATCGACATATGAGTTAACTTTCTGTTAATTGAAAATGCTCCATCAATATATTTAAATAATGATTTGAAGGTCAGTATAAGTTTTTTTATCTTCTCGTGTATATCATTTTGAACAATATATTCTTCATATGCACACAA